GAATATTCTAATTCTAATTGTTAGGATACTGAAAACAGTTTAAAGTTCTTGAGTTCGCCATTTCTGTAACCATCATTCACAAAATATTTTAAAATTTCAAGTTTGTGTGTAAATTTACAAAAACGTCACCAAAGTTTTTCTCAGGAATTAATTACCAGTGACTGATGACAAATCGTTGGATGTCACTTCTCATGAACTGACGCCCACAAAATGACGTATTACATGATCAAATTCAATTTTATTTATTAAAAATATGCCTTACTGGCAGTCATCATTTCAATCAATATGCTTATTTGAATTACTTTTTAGATTAGTGCTTCTCAAATTTTGCATCATTTTGCATCGAGTCACAATATTTTTTTGGAGCATAATTTAGATTTGGTTGGCCCAAAGCTGAATTATTAAGAAGTTGATTCTGCAACCCTTTATCATGATAAAAAAAACCGAGCTTAAAGTCGGCTCGAGATTTTCATCGATTTTGTATGATGAATTCATACAAAATTACATCAATTTCGAGCTCTGCAAAAAAATTATAAAGTATAAAACAACCTGTATCAAAGTGAAATTATTATAAATTAATGCATCAAGCATTATATTGACGCCCCTTTGATGTATGTGTAGCTATGTGTTGCTAAGCAATTCATCACGCTTAATAGGTGTAGAAAATGGATCATCACGTTGATTGCGCTACTCTGTAGTAACTCCCATATTACAACAATTTTTGTTTACATTTTTTTATGCTCAATCTTGACCTAAAAAAATCCTAAGACGACTCATCTGCCATATCCCACTCAGATTTGATGAAACTTGGCATGTTTCAAATATCTGCGACCTCAAAAGGGACAAGACACATGTGAAGTTTTACTCTACTTGTGTTGTAGTTTATCTTCCGAATCATTTCTGTGTGATTTTTTTTTCTTTCTGTAATTATCTTGTGTTGACTGTGTTGTGTGCCTGCTCGCCATACAATCCTACACTTTAAGAAAAACGATGAACGATGAAAATTTTCCGAATTTTTTTCCCACGAAAGAAAAAAAAATCTTTTTATCTTAAAAATTTTCTTCATGTGCTATAAAGCATGTAGGTTGAATGTTATATACAAGCAAAAAATATGTGTGTACGCAAATAGCATAAGCGTTGATAGAAAAAGCATTTTTATGAAATTTTTCATTCCAACACGCGGCAAGGTGACATTTTGCAGTCGTCAGGAGAAATTGCTGATCTTACTTTTAAAGCGCATTCGGAATCAGTTTTACTTTTGGTATATCTAATATGTAGATGGTAACAAATTTATTGATTGAAAAGCTCTCAGGGTGTTGATTGCTATTAGGTACTTTGCTAAGAATTTGGTGCAAAACATAATTATTGTTTCATAAATTAGGTTTGAGTTTGACATTCCATCTTTTCTAAAATTAAATTTTTCATTTTTTAAAACTGATCAAAATTCAGATTTTCTTTTAAGCTTAAAATTTGATTATTTTAGTTTATCTGTGACAATTTGCAGTCTAGTTTAAAATATAAATCTGTTCCAAGAAAAGAAAATTCGAAAAGGTACGAAAATGAGCATTATATTAATGTTATTGACCTTGTGTAAGTGGTGTATTTTTATTTTTTGATATTTGATATTCGTGTATGCTATTAGTGAAAGAAGAGAAGAGATGAATCGAAAAATAGGGATGAACAACAATGGATTTTATCACATGCTGATACACACTTGTAGTTGAATATTTTGGTCATGCAATACTGTGATAAAAATATCATTGATGCTGTGCTAAACAAAATCTAGCTTCAAAGAGAAATTGAACAATGAATGCGACATGGATAGCCAGAATTTTTGTTGATAATATTAAGGTCAAAATTGATTCTGAAATTTACTTACTAGCTTTTCGAAATTTGAAGTCTTTAGGGCAATCTGAACAAAAATTGATGAATCTTATTCATACAAATGGATTCTCAGAATGAATAAGCAATGTGTTGGAACTTAAAATTGAGTATTTGATTTTCAAAAGATGTAATGAAGAAAAGAATTATCAGAAAGGTCAGATTTCCTTGGTGAATTGAAAAAAGTTTGAAATAATAAAAGGGGGGAAGGGGGTAAAAGAATTTGTGACAAGAAGTAGGGGAGGGGATCAATATTTAAAGTTTAAATGCTTAAAAAATAATGTACAAATTTTAATGCTCTTTAAGCTTCCTTTTAGCCTCTCCTTAAAATTCTCTTCAGTTTTCTTAAACAAAATTACTAACCAAGGAAGTTTAAATATCCAAAAACCTTTTCGCTAATAAATAAAATTAAATATAAGCAAACGTAAACAATCAATTCACAAAAGAGAGAACATAATAACAATAATGGTGGTGATGATGATGATGTATATCCAGAAATTCTTGTACACCGTAAAATGAGTCATCATAAAAGTCGCGAATATGTTCGTGTATTCATTAAAATTGAGGCTCGATACTCATTTACTTGTGATGTTCAATAACACGATCGAAACAATTTTTATGATTCAATTAATATTGATTGATAACAAGCGGAACTGATGTGCAAACATTTATTGTATATAACAGCTACATGCGAAGAATGTCGCACTAATTTAGAAAATGTCACGGCTGTTCTTATCATCATTTTCATTTATATTGTGGATATGATTCATTGAATTTTGTTGAATCCCGATGGCTATATTGGTTAATTCGTATGGCTGATATTTTGCAATAATTTATGAACACACAATTCGTAATATTTCATGGTGGATTTTTAAGTTTGGTATGGAGGATGAGAGATTGTACTTTCTACTAGAAGGAACATTTATTAAGCATTAAAAGCAGGGGTGGAACTAGTTTTTTTGAATAAGTAGTTTGAAATTGAAATTTTTTCAATGATATTAATATGGTCAGGATTTATCCTAAAGGTTCCGACCTTTAGATATGAATAGAAGATTAAATCAGACATTAGTCATCTATCACTATAAATGCGAACTCTAGGAATTTACTATGTGCAATTTCCCATTCTAAGCATTCAATCCAATAAACATTCATGAAGAAAAATAGCGAGTGACATGAGTTATTGCTTTCAAAAGTATCCCAACAACAAACACATTTAAACATTTATTTTTGCCAAGAGAAATTTTAATGGACTCACTTCAATTTTCTAATGATTCCCAAACCCGTAAAAAATTCTGAACTTCTCTCAAAGTTTAAACAAAATATAATTTATAAAAGAGAGCTAAAGCAAGGAAAAACTTAAATTACTTCATTTCTATTTATAATTTTCTATTTTCTATCTCAACAAATATAACAATGAACAAAAGCAGCAGCAGCAACAATCTTTTCTACTCTCTCAATAGTACCATTAACTTCCAGTTTAGAGTCGAATTAATAAATTACATGGCTCAATCTCTTAACAATAAATAATTTGCATGGTTTTAAATATAAGCGCTGTTTTTACAAAGAAGGATCCTTGCGGAAACTTGATCAATATGCTATATGATTACTAATTGACCCCAATATGGTTTAGACATCAAATATGAAGTGTCATTTTCCAAAAGAAAATATTTTTTTTATAAACATCAAAATTTATTACTAAAATTCTGCACAAATCTGCTTCAAGGGAGTCCACTAATGCTATTAGTAGGCATGAAAAGGGAGAGAAAAAAATTACGCGAAAGTTGTAAACTTCTTATCGTTAAAAAGCTATTTATTATCGAGAATTATCTGCCTCGTTTCCCTTTTTATTTTATTTTTTTATATATATTCATTTACACACTTTTTGTAAGGAACGAAACTCGTTTCTATAATCTGTTCCGCATTTAATTCAATTTAATTCATTCATGTCTAGGAAAGTAGTCGGAGCTATCATAGAATATAAGAAGTAAATGAAAAAATATGGAAATTTAAAAATAGGAAGAGTCAAGATTTGACATCAAAAAATGTCGGTTCTATTGATGTAAATTTTCTTAGTGAACAGTTTATTTTCTCTGATGAATAAAGAGGCTCGAGAGTGAATTTTTGCTTTAATTATGAGTAATTATGGGAGTTTAAAATTGATTTGACGAAAGGAACTTGAGCGCATTTTTGTGGGTTTGATAGTTTTTACTAGGAATTTTTAATAAAAAGAATCATTGAATTAGATAAAATTCTCCCATTCTTTATGGCAACCCCTTTGAAATAAAAACACTCATAGTGTCTAATATTTAAAATTTTTCACGAGAAATTAAAACTTTTCATCGGTAGACATCATTTGCAAAGCATCCCTTACACTTCTAATGAGACAAACCGAGCTCAAAATCTAATCAATATGCAAAAAAAAACTCCACCATAAGATAAGTAATTATAAAAGTTGAAAGAAATATTTGAGGGATAAAAGAAGGGACTAACAACCTCCAATTATGAAAGGTTGTTAAGAAAAGAAATTATTTTAATTAATCAGATTAACTTCCATTGGGACACCGTTTTGAGCTTTAAAGAGAAAACTTTTTCAGAATTTAAAAGATTTTTATTTTTAGTGGGGTCTTGTGCATGTATTTTGTATGGCATTTTTTCGGATAATAAGTTTGAGCTTCTTAAAAAATTAATAAGAATAAACGGGACATCAATTTAAAATCAATGTTAAATTAATTTTATCCTAACAGATCTCATTAAAATTATCAAAGATTGAATTTTTAATGGAAGTGATGAACTCTCCAAAAATGTCCAAATCACTGTCTTATATTCAAATGTCTATAATATTAGATAGCCATTTAAGAAAATCTGCATTTTTAGTTGTTGAAGATATCAAGATCTAGCATTACAGATATTATAACAAACACGCTTCTTTTGTCTTGTTTTATGAGGTGTTAAATTTTTTAAAAGAGAATTTTCAGGATCATTAAGCAACATTTTTGTTATTTTTCCATAAAATCTGTTTTGCATAAATATAAAAATAAGATTTTCATGCATAAATTGTATCTGCTTTGCATATGAAAATAATATTAACAAGATTTCTGTTTTTTTTTATCTCCTTACAGGTTCGCTTGAGTGTATTTCATAAAATTTTGAGCTTTTAAAAGGAAAACATAAAAGGTATTGTCTATTGTTTTGAGATTTTTTGATAAAAATATGCTACAATTTTTAAGAATCTCATTTAAAAACTTTATGGAACAGCATGTGAATTTTAGTATGAATAGATAAAATTTCATGAACTTCAAACGACACAAACCGTTCTGCATTAGTATTATTTTATGACTAAACTTTTTTGCATTTCCTCGAATTCGAAAAAATTTCAAACAAAAGTTAAATAAACTGAAGCATTAAAAACTTTGCAACAACAATTATTAAAATTCTAAAAACTTTCTCGACATAGCTTTTAATTTAATTAAAAACACTGTACACGACTCAGTTGATTAAGCACTTATTTTATGACTCATTAGACAGAGTGAAAGAATAAATATCAAAGTTTCAATGCTTAGACACTTTTTGATTCTTGTCAAAGCTAGGATTACTAAGAACTGGGGTTAGGGGTAGGCAATGCTTGGAGCTGACGAGCATTTTACAAGTATTCGAGTCAACTTAAAATTACTTTAATGTAAATTGGCTGTAAATCTTATTTGGGATTTGATTAGGGGCCGTTCACTTATGACGTCTATCAAAAAACCTAATTTTTAACCAATTCCCCAATTCTGTCACAGATTTCAATACTAACCCCCTTGTAACGTTCAATTCAAGACACAAAAAAATTATAATTTCTTGATTAAAAAATGGGATATAACAAATTTCCTGACCCCCCCTTCCCTACCACGTAACAAATTTCCTGACCCCCTCCCTCCCCTAAATGTTAGATTTCATAAGTGAACGACCCTTATGGTCTTTAGGTTTAAGAGTTGCTTCAGGTTTTCAGATACCACGAGCAAATTCAATAGCATCAAATTTGTATTAGTAAACAGAAGAAAATAATTTGATGCTAAACTCAGTGGATAAGCATGAATGTCTCCCAAAAGGAAAATTTGAACTAATTTCTATCCATGCTGGCTTTTGCAATGAAAAAGTTCTTCCTCATTTCTTTGTTCAATAATGTTTAATATGGTGAAGTTTGAATATGATTCTGAAAACTTTTTATTGTAAAATCCTAATATTCAATAGCTTCATTTGCTCTTGATTTAAAATGTGAGGTTTATTAAAAGTACATAAATATAAAATTGTGTGTAATTAAGTTTTATAATGGGTGAGAAATGAAGCGTGAAAATTGGTATGTGGGTTGAGTGTTTGCAAATATTTGATTTTTTTAGGTGACAAGAATTATTTCCTTGAGATTGTTATATTGTCTGACTTGTGGCTTATTTATAAGACAGTTTCTTTGATGGTTAAAGTTTTTTTAAAATTTCTTAAAGTACAAACATCCTGAAAACTGTAAAATCGATTATTTCACATTTCTTCCACCCGCATGTAAAATTAAATAATTTTTCTTCAATTTTCCCATTATGTCTTCAAGCCAAATCACAAACAAAATCAAATATTTCAGCTCATTTGAATAAGAAAACAAATGCAAAACCAAAATAAAAGAAGAAAATTGAAAAGTCAATGGAAATGCGGTCTCAGTAGAAATCACAAGCAAACAAATGAACATAAAATGAATAAAGTTGTGCCTGAATAACAGAAAAACAAATCTCTTTCCTGCTAATAGAAGTATTGTAATACTTCAATAGAAGTATTGAGAATATTTTTTCAAATGAAGAGGATTAAGAAGAGGATGGAAAAGTCTTTTGTATTATTTACCTTTAGTCTTTAAATTGCTGATTTCATTTCCTTTGTTAAGTGTTTTGAGGTACTGTTTTAACGGTTTTTGGAGTATGGATTTTTTTTAGAAATTCAAGATTTGCTTAAAGTGAAAAAATGGGTCGAAATTTCTATGAAAATTGGATTTCTGTAGGTTGACTTAAGCTTAATAAATAAGAATAACTCATGCATTGTTTAAATTGTGTAGAATAGAACTGTCAATCGGTCTAGCCATCCAAGGCTATAATTACTTAATACAATTCCATACACAACTTTAAAATTAGCACTTAAAAAATTGCATAAAAAACTGAACTATAAAAAAAGTCAATTTTCTTTATCAGTGAAGCGCATTTATTGTCATTACAAACATAAAATTATATTTTATGATTTACAATAACTTGCAATTTACATTAAAAACGTTCTCAATTGCAAAAGAAAACGTAAGTTTCAACTTTAAAGTAAAATTTTTTGCGATAAGAATTTCAAATGCATTTTTAGCGTCGTCAATGACCTAGTAAAGTAAAAATATAATGTGCAACATTGTAGCTGCTAGTCAACCATAAAGTCCACATTGTAAATTGCACATTTATTTATTTTTTTTTCTGTCTTCACTTCTGACTACCTACAGTAGTCGTCGATTATATTTAAATTGTTTTTCTTTCGTCTTCTTCTTGTTCTAAATAAATCTGCCGACGCCACACACAAAAAAAAAATCACGTCCGACAGAAATGTAATTTAGAAGGGAATATGATGCAATCGAATGCTTAAAATATGTAAAAGAAGCTAAACGTTTAAATGTGGGTCTAAATAATTTGCATAAAGCCTGATCGGCTCACTTTTAAATTTTGTCCACAAGATAGCGATTTAGATAGTTTACCAAAAACCTAGTAAAACTTTTTACATAACTCCTGATTAGTAAATATAAATGTTTGCCGATCGGGAAACTTTCACTGTAAAATACTTGCATTCGTGATTTAGGGATTTATGATAAGCAAAATAAAGAAGCGAAAATGCGTTTAATTCAATCATCTAGATTTAATCAACAACTTTTCACTAGTTTTGCTTTTCTTTTTACGAGACACGAACAAAATATTATGAAATCTTCAAAATTCACTCTCATCGTTTCATACAATTTCTTCATCACATAATGCACTTCTCGTTTTTGAGTAGGGAAAAAACGTTGACTAGAGTTTCACCTCATGAATAATGCATGCCCTCTCTGGCGCTATGATATTAAATTATGTAGTGGCAACATCATAGTCAGTGGCAATATGTAGTTTGGATGTTAGGTAATCATCATTATCGTCATCGTAGATTATTTATTGTGGATGCACCACTGTAGCTGCTTCATCAAAAATGTTGGACATAAAATTTACAAGAATTTGTTATTAATATGAAAATTAATGACTTACAATATTGAAAAGTGATGACAAACATTATAAATGTCGATGTGACAAAAAAATGGGATCAGAAATAGAAAAATTTGGGACATTAAATTAAATCACAGAAAAAACTCATCGAACCTAATTAAAATAGATTGACTTGACTCGAATATTCACGATTTAATGCATGATTCAGCGCAAATCATCTGACGACTGCATACATCTTTATTCATTTTTTTCTTTAAAAGAAATTGTCTCACGTATCGTTACGGATGTTTTCATTAGATGATGATTCAGTTCATATCTTGCTGATGTTATTTACGATATGATATCATATAGCTGTTTTATTTGGATCGAGTTTTATTTATTTTTATGACATGCTACTTATTATAAATTATGAAATGATAAATTATGGGTGCGGATGCTCTGATAAAGCTTTTTCGCTTTGCTTTGGTATTTTTTTGATGTGTACCTTGATTGAGTAAATAAACAAAGGAATGACTTGTTTGTGATAATGAAGTTATTATTATCAAAGTCACTTTCAGGAGCGTATCCAGTTAATTAATTTTAAATTTAATCATTTTCTTCTTGAAAAATTTCGAAAGCTAAACTGCGATTGAATGAGTCGCAAACTTGTAAAATATTTTTAATCAATCACTAATACGTGATCTTAATTACCAAAACTTAATTAAACGCAACGCAAAAAAGCAGAACAAATTTCAAATTGATCGACAGTTTGAATGACAAACTCACTCAATTTCACATTGTTGCAAATTTAAAATTGCAAAAAGTATTGAAGTTAGAAAAATTGCGCTTTTGTCTTTGCACAGTTTTTAATTGTACAGTTTAGCCACTAATTGATGAGATAAAACAGCGTCTATATGGGAAACAAATGAACAAAAAAAAATCTTCAAGCATAAAACTTTTTTAATGTATATCTGCCGACATTGCACTTTTTTTTCTTCTCCATGAAATCGAAACCTCATTTGCCGATAGGGAAAAATGGCAATGAGAGACCATAAAGGAGAGTAAAAATTATTGTGGGAATGGATGAAGGAGATATCAAGTTGATTAATTGCTCTATGGAGTAAACTAGGGAGGAAGATAGAAAGCTACACGGTTGGATGTATATCAAGTCGTATAGACGCCTCGATTAAAGCTATAGTCAATACTGTAAATATAAGCTTAATCATTAGTGCGCAATTTACTCATTAGAAGAAGGCAAAATGAGAGAAATATGGCTAAAAGCTGTTGATGTTAGATATTAATATGTGATTAGAGCGCATTTAACTCATTCATCATAAGTGAAGATCATAGGATTGAAATTGAGTGGATATGTCAGATTTTACTTATATGACATGTACTTAATCATCTTTTTAAACTAAACTTTTTACTTCCTTTACTGGGAAGTCACCAGAACTCACAGAGTACCTAGGAAATAACACTTAAATTAAACATGCTCTTTAATTAGCTTTGTGAGTTTTCTAATCAGTCAGACTGCACTTTCAATGCAAACCAAGTTAAAAAGTGGCTAAGAAATTTTTCTATCCAGCTAAATGAGACATAAAACATACATCAAACATTATTGGAGACCCATTGATTGCAATTAATGTGACATAAATTAAACATTCTGAGAATTAATAATAAAAGTCCATGTGACATCAATTTATTGTTGCACAATTATAGAAAGTTTGAGAAAGGTTAAGGAAAATGATCGATTGACATGTATAAACGAGAAGAAAGAAGAGGACGGAAAAGTTTTTCAACTATATGTGTTTATGTGAACTTTAACACCTTTCTCATTTTATAACGACAACAACGTAAGATGATGCGCATTCACATTGACATTGAACAATGGAATAGATGTGCTTTAGAAATAATAAGAATAATAATAACAGTAATGTATTAATAGATGACAACATTCTCATG